CCGAGTGTCGGTCCCGAGTGTGCGGATCGTGCGTGGATTTTGCGTCACATCATTCGACCGGCTTCGTCACTTGGGCGAAATTCAATTACGTTACCTTCTTGATCCGAATTACGTTATAGAGGGAGAGGACCGTGAGTGGAGGAAATCGAGGGACGCGTTTCTATTCGCCTCTGCCGCTCGGGGAGGGAGCGAACGGGCAGGCAGGCAGGCGGCAGGGCAGGCAGAGGTGGCGAGAAGAGAGGCAGCAGCAAAGAGAGAGAGGGCGAAAGGAGAGAGGCGGCAGCGGCGACGTAGGCGGCGATGAGAGAAGCGGCGGCAGCGGCGGTGGCTGGAAGCGGCATGAGAGACGCGGCTGTGGAGGCGGGAGTGGAGAGGCAGCGGGAGGTGGAGGCGGGGACGGGAGGCGGGAGTGGAGGTGGAGGCGGGAGAGGCGGGAGGGGAGAGGCGGGAGTGGAGGCGGGAGGAAGCGCACGTGGATGCGCCGCCAGAGAAACGGCACGACGTGGAGCGCGCGGTGGGCCCAGTACCTACGAGAAGGTGCCGAGGACGGTGCCCTGGGGGCTCTGCGGCGGCGGGAGCCGGAGTTGCGGAATCGTGTGGTTTCACATGCCAAAGGAGAGGAGGTAGTGGTGGGCCACAAGACGGGCCAGCCGGACCGCAACCTACAGCGAGGCTCAGAGAACGGCTCCGAGAAGCCTCTCGTCGCCCTCGAGCGTGGCCAGCTTCGTGTCGCCGGTGCGCCAGCCAGCCGAGAGTCGAAGGCGGGGTAGAAGCCCGGCACTCCGTAGTACCTGCAGGGCAGTGTGCCGGGACACGTCGGGCAGCGGCCGCGGGTAGGCCACACGGGCGTGCCGAAGGCGAGGCGATGAGAGGTGGTGCCGTGCGTAGGTGCGCGTGGTGGGGACGGGAAGGACGTGTGTCTCAGAAGTGTCGCAGACAGTGCCAGGACGAGCGTGAGCTGCGAGAGGAGCGTCATGCGGTCGTGGTAGACGAGGGCGGCGAGCTGCTCGCGGTCGCGACCGCACAGATCGCTCTCCGCCTTGAGTGCGTGCTCGCGTGGCGGCTGCGTCCGCCGCGCAGGACAGGCGAAGAAGACGGCCTCGAGGTATGCATTGTAGACGCGCCGCGTGAGCGACGCAGCCCACAGGAAGGCGGAGAGCTGACCGAGCCGCATCGACCCAGGCACGTCGACTCGGGACGCCGGGAGCAGCGTCGCCATTGCGGTGAGCGTCAGCAGGACCGTCAGCTCGATGGCGGTGTTCAGCCAGTCGGCCGACAGCAGGAGCGAAGAGAAGTGCGAGCGCCACGGAAGTTTCTCCACTGGCTCGCGGAAAGAGTAGACCGCCGCCGCGGCCGGCGAGGCGGCAGGCTTCTTGACAACGCTCGCCATGACGGCGGACGCGGTGCACGTGATGGTGTTCGACATGCACAATACGTGCCAGGTGAATCGCGGGAGAAGTCCAGAACCGACGCTGGGTTCGCCGGGCATTAAGAAAACAGAATTCCGGCACGCCGCCGTTTCTAAGCCTTTCCACACCCCTCGCCCACCCCATGCCGTGGTTTCTTAGCTCCGGCCGGCACTCAGGCCAGAGCCGGCCCTAATAAGGATTTTTAGGTAAGAAAGAGCCCTGCCTGGAACGGGTAGGAGAGAGAGATTTTTAGAAGCCAACAAGAAATGTGGCATTCTTCTTAGATGGGCGGGTGCAACATCGACACCGCCTTCTCGCGCGCCGACAGCGACTTCTCCATGTCGCTCCTCAAGAACTGGCGCACCCTCGTCGCCCACAACCCCGACTTCGCCCACGACGAGGGAGGTGCGTCCAAGTACCCCGCCATCGCCGCAGCTATCGCCACCTACGAGTCCGCCCTCTCGGACTGGAAGGAGGTGTGCGAGAAGCGCGCCGCCCGCGACAAAAACAAGTACTACACCGTCCGCGGCGGCTACCTGACTGAGTTCTACCCCAAGAGCGTCCCGCTCCCCGAGCCCGAGTCCCTTCCAGCTACCGACGCGATTCTCAATGGCACTTGCAAATCCACGTACCCGCGGCCGCGGGCGCTCGCTGCCATCAAGAATCACAAGGACTGGTACGCGCACCAGGAGCTCGTCAAGGCGCGGGATGTGCACGTCAAGAACAACCCGTCCCTCGGAGACAGCGCCGTCAACAACCGCGAAGCCGCGCGCTTCGTCTCCGCCTCAACGCCTTTCGCCGGCAAGGCCTTCGATGTCCGTGTCGACGGTACGTACGCCACCGCCCTCTCCTCCGACACCCTCCAAGACGAGCTCCAGCGAAAGCTCGGCCTTTGGCTCTCCGCGGCGCTTCCCACCCTTCGGGTCGCGCTCGAGCGGGGCATGCCAGTCGATTTCTTCGGCGACTACCTTTACAACAAGGCCCACCACCGGCGGCCCCACGACGGCGTCCTCGCCGCCTGGGCGGACGCGATGCGCGCCCCGGCCAACGCGCCGGTCGTGCACGGCGACAAGGAGAAACCAGAGCTCACCCGGCAGTACAACGAGGGGTACAAGGTCGACCTCGCGGAACCCCACGCTGGCCCGGGAGGATGCGATGAGGTGAATGAAGTCAAGCTCTGGACGCCCCTCCTCAAGACCTCCTCGCCGGGCGTTGGCAACGCCTCGAGTGGCGGCACGCCCGCCTCCGTTGGCCACTCCTACGCCTTCGGCAACACCGAAGAAAAGGCCCGCCGCCTAAACATGGGCTGCAAGGCGCGCGGGCAGCCCGGCCAGCCCTTCTCCCACAAGACCGGCCACGGCTACGTCAAGGCGCATCGCGGTTTCTACCACGACGCGATCTTTGTCAAGCGCAACAACTTCAACCTGCTGCTCCACGAGACGTTCGGCGGCGGCTTCTCGCCCACCGCCGTTCTCAAGCTGCGCCGCCTCGCGCGCAAAGTCGCGCGCGGCAGCGTTGACCGCACGGCCTACTCGCCCAAGTACTCGCTCTCTTTTATGTCCCACCATGCAGAGCGCATCTCTCTCTCTGTTGTGCGAGGCGTGAACCGCGCCATTCGCTCTCACCTGGCAACCCTGTCTGCACGTCTCGCGCGCGCGTGAACAGGGCTCCAGGCCCCAAATTACGTGTGAGTGTTAGAGTTGTTTGGTATTGCTAAAAATCTCTCTCTCTCTCTCTTCTTCGGGTAGGTGGAGTGCTGGCATCATTACACAGATGGAAGCAGGAAGCTTCCATCCCGGCGGTGTTCGAATCCACACGAGCCGAAGGTGATGGGTTGTGGGCTTGAGACTGAAGCTCACCCAGTGAGGAAGTGAGTGAGGAACTGCTCGGTCCGGCTCTGATCATGCTGACCAAGCTCCTCTTCGGTTACTTACAGGACCGTGTTCGACGTCGTCGAACAGTGTTCGACGTCGTCGAACGCAACTTCGGAATGGCCGTAGGCGTAGCTCCTCTCCACGAGCGATTCAGACGAGAGACGACGTACCAAGTGTCGATTCTGTATAGAATTGCGAGGCGCACACGCTGGTGCAGGCGGCGAGTCGTCGATCCGACTCGTTCCGCCGATCGCCGTGCAAAGCTCGCTTCGGCGAGCTCTCACGCCGCGCGTAGGCCCCTACCTAAGGGGCCTAGAGAACACAACCCCCTCTCTCTTTTCTCCCAGTAAGCTAAAAGTACAAATACAATGACGTCCCAGACGAAATCCTTCATCGTTTTTGCGTCCCGGACGAACAGCGGTTACGTTTACAACCCCTCTCAACTGTAATCGACCTCAAACTTGCATCCCGCAACTCCCATCGTTTGGCTGACGCGAACCCACCGTCGCGCCCTTTATCCGCGCTATGGCGGCTGTCTCCTCTTGCACATTCTACATGCTCGATGCAAAACCGAGCTTTTGTGTCTAGAGAGCCCTCCTCAACCCTCAAAGTTTTCTTCCGGCCGTGCTCCGCGCCTGACTCCTTGAGCGTCATAGGCGCCTGTCCGCACATGTTCTGCAGCGTAGCGGGTCGCGCCGCCCCCACGGCGCGCGGACTGGGAGGACCCTCTCGCGCCCCTCTCCCTTAAGCCGATAGCTCCCTCCCGCCCCGGCCGCGAGCCCGCGGCGTTGTAGCCTACACACAGACACCTCTCCGCGCCGTAAAGGGTGGCGTGCAACGTACTACTAGGATCAGCGGCGAACGAGCTCATCTTTTTTTGCCCGTCCCGGACGAACAGCGGTTACGTTTAATCGACCTCAGTCGCATCCCGCAACTCCCATCGTTTTGGCGCGAACCCACCGTCGCGCCCTTTATCCGCGCCATGGCGGCGGTTTCCTCTTGCACATTCTACATGCTCGACGCCGATTTTGTGCGCTACTTCCACGGCACGTACCTGCCCTTCCTTCAGCAGATCCGGGAGGAGCACCCGCAGGCGCTCGTCAAGACCACAATTGACTATGCCGAGGCAGTCAAGGGCACCCACCTAGAGACAGCCCTCAGTGTCTCGCACCGCTGGATGAAACCCGATGAGCCCGATCCCGACGGCGAGCAGCTCAAGGCGATCAAGGCGTTTCTCAACTCGCCGAATGGCAAGATGATCGAACGCGTCTGGGTTGACAGCGCCTGCATGCCACAGGACCAGCCTAAAGGCTCGCGCAGCGCGGAGGACACGGCCTCCTTCGAGACGATGCTCTCGGAGGTGAACCTGCTCTACCTTGGCACCACCGTCCTGATACTCCTCGACCTGTCCTATGTGTCTCGCTTCTGGACGCAGTTTGAGTCGTGGCTCGCCATGCAGCACATGACTCCGGGCGGCCTCAAGCCGGCGGTGGGCACCATGAACGAACGGCACCACATCATGTGCATTCAGAACGCCGCTGCGCAAGCCGAGCTGTACACCCGGGTGCAAGTTGAAAACTGGGCCACAAAGCCGCCGCACGAGGCACATGCCTTCCTGTCAAGGCCAGACGTGACTGTCACGAATCAGAGCGACAAGGAGGGGCAGCTGCCAAAGATCAAGGCGCTCGACGCGACTGTGCAGAGCACGTTCCTGGCGATCGCGTGGGAGTACGATCGTGAGCTGGAAGCCAGCCGCGAGGTGTTGTCGCGCGCCGAAGCGGCGCTGACAGCGTGGGAGACGGAAAATGATGCTGTCGCCGGAGAGAGGAACTCGAAACGGGTGGCAGTAGCGACGGCTGCGAGCGTTGCTGCCCGTGCGCAGGCGGAAAAGGGAAGGCTTGAAAGAGCGATCGAGCTCGGTATTGTCCCAGTGAGGTTGGACGCGTGCGCACAACTCGAGGTGAGCGTGAGGTGCGGTGACGCCGCTGGCGAGGGACCAACTGCTTCGATCGAGCCTCCTCCGCCGCCGCCGCCGCCGCCGCCGCCGCCGCCGCCGCCGCCGCCGCTTGAGAGCACGTGTGGTGCCACGCCGAGCAGTAGCGTGATTCCTGTCCATGTTCGCAAAGCGGTTGCGCGAGGCCACGAAGCGACGGTGCGGGTGTGGCTCGAGCGCGGCGGGCGGGCGAGCGCGACGTACGAGGATGGTGATGTTAGCGACATCTCTTTGCTGATGCTCGCCGCCCGCCTCAGACGCGCGCGGCTGGTTGACCTGCTGCTGCAGCATGGCGCGGATGTCAACCAGCAGGCCAGCAGCGGCCGCACCGCGCTAATGAACGCCGCCTACTGGTACAAACATCCCATTCTGCTCCGGCTGCTGCGGGCAGGAGCAGATCTGAATGCGATCGACACCAATGGCAACACTGCGCGACATTTTGCTGAGGCGAACGGCCACGCCGACTGCGCGCGCATCCTCGAGGGGTGGGGGGAGGCAGACCATAGCGATATCGTCGTCGAGGCCAGTCAGGATGCGGCCCCGACGGATGGCGAGTGGGAGGGGAGGTCCATTCACACTTGTCCCATCTGCCTCGATGGTCTCAGCAGCGCGCAGGCGCTCGGCTGCGCGCACACATTTTGCGGCCAGTGCATCGCGCGCCACTGCCAGCAGGCCTCCCCTTGCTGCCCGGTATGCCAGCGTCCGATTCCGCCTGAGGAGCAGCGCGAGTGTACGCGTCTCATCCCAGTTGGAGATGGAGTTGCAGTTCGCCGTCCGCTTCGCTCCGCTCTCCGCCGCCCGCTCTCTGCTCTCTCGCGGCTACAACTTTCTCTTTAGCTGTTGTTTTCCTGAGCTGTCCCGCCCTGTGACTAAAGTCGCCGTGAAGGGTCGGAAAACATGGCCATTTTTCAACATGACCATTTTCCCCACATTTTGCCCGAGGCGCCTTCGGAGGGGTGTGGCACCCCTATCCCAGCCGCGCGCGAGTTGAGCTCCGATTTGCGCTCTTTTTCGCACACGCCCGACACTAGTAGGTGAGGATCGACCATCCTCCGCAAGCAGGGCTTCGTCTGGCGCGTCTTCGTCGAGCGGTGGTGCATCTCCCATGCTCCCCCCGCGCCCTCCTCGCAGCCCGCCCGCGGCCGACACC